CGTTCCATCCGAGAAGGTAACGAGATGAGTCGTGCTCTGCCCATTAAAATAGTTAGGGAAGCTGAGCAGGGAAAGCTTAACTCTAAAACAAACAGAAGACTTAGTCAGCCATTTCCAAATGTCTGCTCTGATCCAATCACCCATTGTTTTGAGCTGTGGGGTTGGGTCCCCGAGTTTGGAGAATGCATTTGCTGGTTGAGGCACAAATGCTTTGCAATCATAAACATGTATGTTAGGACAAATAGAGTGGGTCGAGTGATGAATGGCCACCATTGTCCAAACTGTAAAAATTAATCAAACGCGCCAATAAAATGCGCGCTAGCCTACAGAAAATTGGCTTCAGTAACCTTACAAAGCATTTAATTAGGTTGCAATTCTCAGCAAGAGGGGTTCACCAAACTAAATCGTTTGTCAAATGTAAAGGAATTTAAATTTTACGGTCAAATTGCACTTTTAAAATAAATATTTAGTCCAAACGCTAAAGGCGGTGAAATCGGCAGTAACCCAATTGGCACAGCAGAGAAGTGCTTGCATTTCATACAGATTTCGGTGAAGATTTGTGCCTTTGTTTAGGGTTATAGAGTAGAGAGATGATTATCGTATTAATGGGGACTGGCCTCATTGTGGATAAGTTAACAGTGCAAATAAGTGGCCTTCATTTTATCATTATCTTCTCAGATTACTCTTTCTCGCTCATCACCGGAGCTTGTGAATTGCTGAATTTAAAGCTCTTGGGTTAGTTTATTATGGTGAATGTATGGCGTCCCCCAACCCAAGGTCTCTCAACCTCAATCTGTCACTTTGCAATGGCTTGTTCTCAGCCTGTCTGAATCCTGCTCTCCAGGTCTAAATAACTCAAAGTTGGCAAACAGTTTGTTATTTTTTCCGTGGTGTCAGTTCATTACAGGATTTTCTATATAAGTGTACTGTATATTTTGTAGATAAACGAGGCAGCTGATTTGCACACAGCGATGTCCCACAAACAACCATTGTAGTGAATGACCAATTTTATCTGGAGGATTGTTGGCCCCGACACCGAGAGAAATTATCTTCTCTTTTCGAATAGTGCCATAGGATTTTTAGGTTGCACTTGAACAGGGAGATGGACCTTGGTTTAATGTCTCATCTACACGAAGGCACCTCCAACAATATATCTCTCTTCCAGCACTGCACTTGTGTCAGTCTGGGCACTGAGTTCAAAGTCCTGATGTGGGAGACTTGAACCCATAACAGACATTCTGTAGAGGTGACAGTGCTACCAAATGAGCCAGACTGATGTCTGTGTCGCTCCCCACCCTCCCACTCAGGCGCCAACTCTCAAAAGGCAGATCTGGAATTTCCATGTGTAGGTGGGATGTATGGAATTCTCAGTTTGGTTTGGATGTTCTTAAGCGCGGTGACCAGCAAAAGGCAGAGTGCAGGCAGGCGATAGCGTTCAGGGCTGTAAGTGATGTGAAATTCCACTCACGGGATCAACAACAACTTGCATTTATACAAAGCCCCTCATGTGAGGTAGAGTCCCGGAGTGCTTGACAGTGGCGGAGGCTGACAACGAGCCAGGATCATCTGTGGTGTAATTGCAGGAGAATTGTCTGAAAAGCTGCGATTTGTTAACAGTAATTTTACTGATGATTGAAAGGCATAGCCCACGATCCTCGGCTTGCGGATGCTGTGATGAGTCCAGGTTGCCATGGCACCACCATAACTTCATGTGGCAATTTTTTCCAAAACTGAGAACCACTTAAGAAAAAAAAGTGTCCCTTCTGGTTTGTTTATGTCAGTTTCTCGTAGAACAAACAGTGAAATCCAACAACCAAAGACACTGGCCAAAACCTCAAACTCATCCAGCGGGTGAGTAGAGGGCCACATTTGATACCACAACTATTTGGGAAATGAAACTAATTGCATTCCTAAAAGCTGAGCTAATATTCCAAATTATTTCAGCAATGGAATCGAGCTCGATGGGCCAAGCAGCTGAGCTTCATCAGAGATCTCAAATACAATTGCCGTGCTCTACATTCCTATCGGGACCAAAAGACGACAATCTTCCTGGCCTCTGGGGGCGTTTGTCTGGAAGCTAAACTGTTTATCTCATTATTCTTTAGCCAATTATTTATGCTAGTTTCTATTTGTAATCGCAAGCAAATCGACCAAATCGCATTACCATTTTGGTGCAATCTTTTCTACTTATTGCAAGGCCGAGCTCTCTCTCCAAAACCCAATGGTTTGTTTACTCCTCTGGTGTAAATAATAACAATCCTTGCATTTTTAATATAGTGCCTTATCACAGGATTTTACTGCAATGTACAGTGACTGTGGATTTGTAGGCATACTTTGCAGTCAATTTGTGCATGAGGTGTCCCACAAACAACCAGTGATCATTAACTTCATGGCTGTTTGTGAGACACTGTGAGTGTGCAAATTGGCTGCTGCATTTGCCAACAAAATACAGTCACTACACTTCAGTGAATCTTGTGAAGAGAATTGAGAAGTCCTCCTTATCAGACGTGTTATTATTCTTACCTAGACTGGACAAAATTGGTGTCTGGACTCTTAAGTAGATCTAAACTGGAGATATTTGGGAAAATATCCAACAAGTTGCAAATTGGGCCAATTTGGCGCAGTTTGGGGTTGGAAAAATGACTTTGAAGTTTGTTTCTTGGGTCGCTGTTGTGGAATTAATGATTATAAATAGTGGGGAATGGAATTTTCCTGCAAAGACATGAAAACGGTAAACCTGTAGTTGAGCCATCTCGAACAAGTCAAATTCTCTTTGTGACCATTACACAAATGTTGTTTCAGTGTCTGCTTTGATGCAAACATAAAGGAAATTTATAAATGTACATTTGTACTGTATTTTGAAGCAGTCTTTCTTATGCGCAGGCTGTGATTTAAGAACTGCAGAAAATCAGCTTCCAAATTCATCCAGAATTTGTCCAAAATTCTGCACGATTAAATTTTTTTATGAGAATAGTCTTAAGACAACGAGCATGAGGAATTTCAGGCCTGTTGCCCCCGCTTCCATAGTCTGTGATACTATCTCAACACGGGTGTCACCTCCCCCAAATCAGCCACATCCAGCAAAGCTCAGTTTGTAGTGCTCTCGCCACCAAGTCAGCAGCCTGTAGGTTCACGCCCCACATTGGAACGCTGAACTCAGGAGTCTAAGCTGATGTTCCAGTGGGGTGCTGGGGAGGTGCTGAATTGGTGGGGGTGCTGTCCTTCAGCTGAGACATTAAACTGAGGCCCCTTCTGCCTGTTCAGGCAGATGTGAAAGATCCCATGGCACTATTCGAAAAGGGGAGTTTCCGTGTGAAGAGCGCAATATAAACACAGGTTGTTGTGGTGGAGGTGTCCTGATCAGTAATACCCCCGATAAAACTCGTCATTCACTTCAAGGCTGTTTGTTGGACATTGCTTTGTGCAAATTGGTTGCTGCGTCGGCTTATAATAAACCGTCACTACAGTTCAGGAAATCCTGTGTGGCCTTACAGAGAGTTTCTTAATCATGTGACGAGAAAACAAGGCTCCAAACAATATTTTCATATTTGTGCTCAAGCTGCAATTTATTCGAGACGTTTCTGATCGCATCTATTTCTCCGTTTCCATTCACTTTGCCAGAAAGTGAAATGATGGCTTTGAGAGACTGCGTAAGACACCCGAGTACAGTGGATAAACAGCGCATTGGAGCTTCCGGGGGAAGAGCATCAATAGAAAGTTCACACGGTGCCTCAGACTCAACACATCTGCCATACTAATCCAAACAACATTCTTTTGTCACAAGGGAGGGGAGGGGGGAATAAACAAACAAAAGCTAGTTATTGAATCGGAAACATTGAATAGATCTCTGGATTTATTTGACAGATTTATCCAATTAAATATTTTATGAAACGTGGTGATGTTTTCCCCAATGGGTTTGCTGAGTGACCTTTCCATCCTTTCACAGAACCTTAACGGCTAGTTTACAAGCGCTGTGGCACATTATACACATCTGTGCAGCGTTCCAAGGTCTGTCTATCTGTCTGTTCCCCACCCATCCAACGTATATTTTAATGTGACCTGATGGAACTGCAGGAGGGATGAAAATGACAGAGCAAAGATAGGCTGCAGTCCTGGCATCTGCAGGCAACATGCTTATTTTGTATGTGTTGTGTGGCAATGTTCATGAAGCTGTGATGACCACAGGGAAGAGGACATGATCACTTTCAGTCTATAACATTGCGGCTTAAATGGAGGGAAAGAGGTTTTAGTTGATGGCTTCAGGCCATAAATTTTGAGCAACAGACCATAATCTGTAAATAGCTCGGAAGGGATTCAAATGAATGGATTTTTGAAATTATTATTATAGCCAAGAAATCTGAACAGTAACTGAGGGGTTGGCTTCCAAAAAACACACCAAATGCAATAACTGCTTGAGTCGGTTCCTGTGGCAGCTGAAAGGAGGCATGAGCACAAAGCCACCCTGCCCCCACTTGTAGATTTCCCCCAAAGTAATTCGCTATCCAATCTCACAGCTACAAGCTCTGGAACTCCCTTCCTCAATCCTTCTGCCTTACCCTCTCTTTGCCTTTCTTCAGATCTTGCTCTAAAAAGGGTGCCTCTGGTCATCACCCCTTTATCCCTGTCTTAGAGTCAAACTACGTTATTGTAAAGCACTCCAAGATGCTATCCCGATTGAGTGGAACACTCATGTGGAGTATAAACACTGGCACCAACTAGTTGGGCCAAATGTTCCGGGTTTCTGGACTGTACAATCTATATATATCTACGATTCTTTCTCCATTTAGTTAGTTAATATAACACTGCTGTGCACAATTGGCTACCACGTTTCGCCCACAAAATATATAGTCAATTCACTTTAGAGTATATTCTGTGAAGCACTTTGAGACGTGTCGAAGACATGAAAAGTCGCTATGTCAAATGTAAGGATTATTACTATTATAATGGCATTGAGCATGTGTGTGTGTGTTGTGTGTGTGTCCACCCATCTCCTGCTTTACCTCATTGACTTGCTTCTTGTCGAGGTGAAAGACCTGACCAGAACTCGTGGAAGCAATTTCCTCATAAGCTTTGTAACCAACATGGCTTCGGTCATCACAGTCCCCGGTCAGCACAAACACTACCTGCAGGAAGAAAACATCTGAGCCTGAGAAACAATTATCGAATATTGCTATTTAAAATAGTTATGCACGATAGAGCTTTTCAGAATAGGAAGACATCTCATCGGGCCTCACAGGATTTACTGTAATTTGTAGCCGGGTATATTACACATGTGGCAACCCATCACTATACTTAACAGTATCCAAATCAGACTGAGTCACAAATCAGACATACATATCGGACCTACACAAGGACATTTCTCTGCGTCTGGAATGGAATATGCACTCTCTCCCAGAAGGAACGCATCCTGCTTACCTACATCCAGAGAGTATTGGACGCAGGTTGGGAGTTGCCAAGGCTTGGGGACCCCAGAGTCTTCGTTGGGGCAACTGCTGGGATCTAACCAGCTAAAACCACACGGCTTACTATTGAGCAAGGCTCACGGGCAGCGAGATAAACAACAAACAGAGAATCTGCTTCTTCTTTATGAAAAGCTAGATGGGATGGTGGTGGTGGGGAGGGGGGAGTGTAGGTGCAGTGTCTGCAACTCACCTGAGACTGCTTCTGTTGGATAAGCTGTAAAACTTCATTTGTTAGCCTGTAGTCCTTAGAACGAGCATCTGTGAAGACGTAGATAAAAGAACCAGGAAGAGAGATCTCCAAAGCAATCTTGATTGCACCGATACTCATCTCAGGGCAGTCCCCGCCTCCCTGATTGAAACAAAAGAAATTTGTGAGTGTCAGTTAACAACAACAAACATTTATATAGCAACCTACTCTCGGGGCAGCTTCACGGAGAGCTTAACAACTATTGAGGAAACCTTGAGTGCTGCTGGCCTCCAACTGGAGCTGTCCGTCACATCAGATTGAGGTAGACCTTCGATTAAAACTCAAATGGCTCTGTTTGAAGCAAACCTCAGACAAGTCATGCAAGGAAGGCCCTTTAACTCCACTCTGCTCCTTTCATTGTTTGCACTCAGGGATGCAATGGATAGAAAGTCAAAGGCCAAAGCTCGAGCACAGCAGAGCATCACTTGGGGTGGATTGCGTTGACACTGGGAAATTGTGGATCACCCTGTAAAAACACAGGGCCTTTAATCCACATTTTACAACAACAGTATTCTTTTTGTTGGTCTAGAACAGGCTGGAGCCATAGCTGTCAAACAGCAAACCGATGTAACATCCTGTCCTAGGCTTCTTTGCCCTGTAATAGTTGTTGAAGTTCAGTTGAGCAATCACAGGGACCCTATTCATCATTCTTTGGGCAGTTTGTAATAAATGGCCATTGCATTGCTTGCTTGCTGCACGTTTCACTATCTGAATGCTGTACACCCAGGAGACTGGAAATGCCAGGAGTGAGTAGCCTGGGAGAAGGAGAAATGGGTACATGAAAACGGAGACAGCAATAAGGTGAAACAACAAGAATAAGTTGCATTTATATAGCGCACCTCACGCAGGGTAGTATCTTAACAACAAGATTACATAGCGATTATATAGATTTTATAGCGCCTTTCACGTTGAGAGGACGTCCCAAGGCACTGGACAGTGTACAGCATTTCAGACCCGAGCTGGGGTCAGGGAGGGAGAAGGGAGGGGAGGGGGGTGACCGATGGCATGGTCAAAGAGGAGGGTTTTGAGGAGGGATTTAAAGGAGACTAAGGAGGGGGCGAGGCAGAGTGATTGGGAGATGGAATTCCAGAGGTTGGGGGCAGAATGGCTGAAAGCTCTACCGCCAATGGTGGGACGGGTGGGTCGGGGGACATGGAACAGGCCGTAAAGCACTTTAGAAAGAAAAAAAGAGATATACGCACACGGGGAGAGAATGAAAGAAACCAGAATAGTGGGAGAGATTAATATTTTTGCAGGCAGAGAAGAAGAGAAAAACAAAGTAGGAGTGAGATAGCAGGCACAGGATTAGAGCAAGAAGGAGAGAGATAGTTAACAGGTTGAGAGAGAGAGAGAGAGAGCGCGCATGTGTGAGTGAGAGGCTGCAAGCAGAACATTTATAAGCTTACAATTATTGAAATAGATTCTTTGCACTGCAAATTTTGGATCAATGTTACATATTTGTTGAATTTAATGCGGGTTTGAATCAATCATGGGTTTACCTGGGATTAATTTGCCCTACAATATTTCTTGCAGTGGATTTGCTCAATAAGCAGAGATGTTTCTGATGTGGTCTGATTTGCAATATTCGCGAAGGGCTGCCGAGAATTCTAACAGGGATTCCTTGCGGCAGAAATCCCTACAACTCATTGGAAATATCGCAAATTAGACCCCTATCATCGGTGGGGGGAAAACTCAGGTCTATAATGCAGATTTTGGCATCCATATTCAACTCAGAATGATAGGGCATCAGAATACTTGGAGGGCTGCCTCTGGTTTATACTCATGTGTATGTATGTACAACACAGATCTCCATTATGAGCAGCATGTTAAGGCTCCACAGAGGAACACATCTGGAAACAAGATGAATGGAATGCTGGCTGCAAATTGTCCTCTTGCCCATCAGTGAGTGACGGTGTTTGACAACACCAAACTACAAAAGAAGCCCTAAAGCACCTTCTGAAAATAATTTCAGCATCTCCTTCACCTCCCCTCGCACCTCTCCTATCCACTCCGTCAAAAGGGGCAATATTTTCCCGCAGCTCCGAAATCATTAGGAAGGTGACAGTCTGAAAGCCCTCCTCAATCACGGAGTCCCACACAAAAAGAAAAATGCAGCCTTTTGACTCCTGAACGAAGAGCCGGTAGAGGAAGGCTGGAGACAGACAGAAAATGAGAGAAGGACGATAACGTCAATTTCAAGGGAAAGGAAACAGTCAGTGTGTAATGTCTCAGATTCATCCTTGGCAGAGAGGAACATCATCGGGGAGGAACGGAAAGAGCTAACCAGTTTTTGTGAGCAGTGGCTCCGACACGCAGTTAGTTACAGCTTAATGTCTTCCTGCTGTTGGGAGCACAAAGAATACTGATTCAAGTTTGGACTCTGTTATCAACATGAAAATCATGGGGCTTTTTTTTCAAAAAAAAATGTTTTTAAAATAGTGTTTTTGTGTTTGTTTGTTTTCCTTCACACTTTGAGCTACGTATTGACACTCGTCTTCCTCATCAAGTCGAAAGGGAAGTTGTGGTGTTCTGTGCTGTACAAGAGTGAGTGAGCTTTAATCCACATTCCAGTTGCACTACAGAGAACGCACGTTATAACAAAGTGTGCTATAATGCAGAACTACTGCAATTATTAAGTGGAATCATGTGTGCGCACGGTGTTCAGTTAGCTCTTCACCATTACAAACCACTGGCGGGATATTTCCTTTGCAGTTGCGTCCGAGGAATATTCCACGCTCCATCCGTTTCTACGGAGGGGCTGTGCGGAGTCCAGTTTCAAGCCACTGTCAGTTTGGGATACAGTAAAACTGCAGCCAGTCCTGAGATTCTTACTAAACTCTCTCGCTCAGTCCATTTAACTGAATTCTTTAGCAAAGAGCAAACTACACGGATTTATCTTCCTCAACAAATTCCATATGTGGGCAAACATAAGAGAACGACATAGAGAAAACTTCGCATTGGGTCAGCTCTGTGTCAATGCACAAGTGAAAGATGGTGGATTTGCTTCTAGGGGGTGACTGAATAGCTCAGCCTGTTTTTTGTGCCAAAATAGTGAGTGAATTGGTGAAGGGAAACTTAAACACATGCTTTACATTATGAATGCTTTCTCTCTCAATTGAACTGCAAGTTTAAATAAAAATAATAACCCATGCATTCGATATAGCACCTTTCACATCAGGAGGATTGCTCAAAGGCAAACGTGTATTTTGTAGGTTCTGCAGTACTGGACGTGAGCTCTACCAAAGGAGCCTAGATAATTCTTGATGTTATTGTAAAGAACTCTCATTCCCTGAAGTGGACCTTTATTAAGTGTTTAGTCAGGACATCATGCAAGGTTTGCACTATTATTCAACTAGCACATTCTTGGCAAAGCTATAGGAGCAGTGGGACTTGCCTCAATGTAAAGTACACAAAATGCAGAGTCACTAGATTACACTAGACTAAGCATTTGTTTAACTAGACTACAGAAACCCCATTGAGATGTCACCAAACCTGCTACACCAAAAGAAATGCAAAGATGTACTGTATATGGACATCGCACTCTATTGAAGGGAAGCAGCTTTTGCAGCCCCCTTGGATATCTGTGACTCAATCTGTGTTCAAAGTCAACTCACAAATAACCATCATCCTCTTCACATATCTTGAACTATTACTCTTCAAGAAACAAGCATGGAGTCTTGATTTCCAGTGAGTGAAGCAAACCATCACTTGGAGTTGATTCAGGTGTTGGGATCTTCACATCGAGTTTGATTGAAAATCAACAGTGAGGTTGAATTAGGATTTGAGATATTCACAGTGAGTTGATCCATAGTGCATTCGATTTAGCACTTACACAAATTTAAGAATCGGGGTTGATTTAGAAATTGGTATCTCTATTCTAGGGATTGGCTTAAGATTTTGAAACTCCACATTGGATTTGATTTAGGACTCGGAGTCTCTACATTGGAAGCATACGTGAGTGTGATTTGAAACAGAACTTTATACAGAAACAAAAGGCGTCTGTTTGACACATTATGTTCCTGACCCTATTCAGATACCGTTCATAATCTTACCCATGAGGGTTTAGTGCCATCACTTTACTTAAGAACCTAATGTTCAATTGTCTTCAGTAAACTGCCTCACATAAAAGCGGAATAACATTGTGATGTTCCATGACTTAGAGCTTGGTCCTCATTGAGTTCTAGTCAAGCTCATACCAAACAGGATGATATCTTCAAGTGTTCAGTCATGACTTCTTACCTGGACATATAGCTCCCTGAGTTCATACTGAAATTTCTTAGGATCTGTGGTAATGGTGACAGGACCAATCTCTGGAAAAAAAAAATAATAATTTTAAAACACAAAACACATTCAAGATGGTCAGGGCAAAGATCATCTATCGAGACACCCTTTCCCCCTCTCCAGCAAGGCTCCATTGGCTTCATCCACCTACAGAACACACATAATCACTGCATGTTACAATATATCCTTTGGGACATCCTCCTGATGTGAAAGTGCTACATCGGCGTAAGGAATTTATTTATTGTTTATTATCCAGTGCCGTTTTTATGAATAAAAATCTCAACGGTGAGAGAACAGCCATTTCTACACAAACTTGGGGGTTGATGGGAAAGGAATGACAGCCTCTTGTTAGGGATAAACATTCTATCTTAAATTTATGTTGTGTGACTATGAGTCGAGCCTTATCTGTGGAGATTATCAACAAGAAAGCTGAACTGTGGCAAATAAAATACTGATATTTTATTGGCCTGCTCTGAAGATGCAATTCATTCTCTGCAGAACAATAATGCAAGACCAGTGGAATTGTCCGAGTATTAGTATCAGACGCGTGAAGCCACAAGTGAAGGCTACCACGTTTTAATGTAGTATGAAATCTGCGACAGTTTGAGGAAATGATCTTTCCAATGCCCCCCCCACCCCCCATATTACCCTCTCGCTCAGTCACTGAACTCTCAAACAACGCACCCAACTGAAGCTAATTGAAACCAGCTTGCTTCAGCCCCAACAGAGGATGGACCGTGGGGGAGCAAGCATCATCTTCCATGGCCCAATTCCACATCCCCATCCATCTACATTAACAAACTGTCTGACCCCCTGGCCCGTTCCTGTCCAGTGGAGACTAAGTGCATCATGTTTCACACTAAGCAGGCAATAGGCTTCACAGGAAATTGAAGTCTTCACGTTTGCAATTTTATGAGGTAGTTTTATTGAACAAAAGGCACCCTGCATTCTGTAAGAGATAATTTGTCAGCTGAGCGATTGAATTACAGTATTTAGTGGAGAGTACACAGCCCACATTCTTTAGCCCTGTGTAAAATCCATGCACATTGGGTCAATCTGGAATAGCAAGGCAACTTTATCCCTCACATAACTGATGTGGTCTCCATTGCAGTCCCGGATTACAGCAAAGGATAAAAGCATAAATCACTGTTAAGCTTTTTACAATTGACTGCAGAGTTCTTCCTAAAGTAACTCTTTTTCAGCAAAGCCTGAAAGCACTCGCTAATAAAACTGCTCTAGCCGTCTGGCTGGTTGGTTATGATTTATAACGTCTAAAGATGATGCTGATAACAGCTGAAATATTTCCCGTGAACAGATCAAGTCTGGCGACCTGTTGGATCAATACGTAGATACTCTGAAGTCCAGTTCGAATTTTAGGCCGTTTCAATGATCGCCACAAGAGCATGAGGCACGCTCTCGAAAGGAATTAGGGCAATTCAACTAATTCTGAAAATCTGACACACGACATAGTTCAGAAAGTGGGCAATACAGTCTGTGCACTTTGGACTTACACAGTTGCATGTACCATAGTTGCCCAGGTGCCCACTTCACAAGTGCACAGTTCAAGTATACAGTTGGCCAACTTGTCAGGATTTACCCAAAAGCTTTTTTTTGAAGCATTGTAGTGACACGTTCATCATCTCATCATCTACGATGCAAGGCAAAAACCAAGAGGACAAAATGTATCGATGCATTGCACAGACTCTCAAACTCTTAAGTATCCACTGCCTGGTCCTGCCTCTGCATTCAGCATTTGGCAGATGAGTGCTCCCAACTGGAAATTCCCACTCAGCTTGACCACAGGCCTTCCCCACCCCACAGCCCACCCAAGGGTGTTGCACAATCTCTGGCTCAGAGCAGACTGCTTCCTTTAGCAATACAGCCTTTACGATGCCAGCAAGCGAGTGAATGCTGACGCTGACATCCAGATTGCGGATTGCGTTCAGTTCAACACCCGAGTGGCAATATAAAACCATAACAACAACAACAACAACAACAAGATTCCATTTATAAAGCGCCTTTCACGTCAGGAGGACGTCCCAAGGCGCTGCACAGTTGGGTCATGACCCGAGCAGGGGGGAAATGGTCAGGGTGAGGGAAGGGAGGGAGCGAGGAGGGGGGAAATGGTCAGGGTGAGGGGAGGGAAGGGAGGGAGCGAGGAGGGGGAAGAGAGTCGAGAGGGGAGCTGAAGGCACGGTCAAAGAGAAAGCCAGTCCCCAGATTCAGATCCTTTACACAGTTATTCTGCTGAGGGCTAGAGATACAAGTGTTGAAGCGCATTAAACCTGCTCCCAACGATGGCCCTTTCATGCCAGCTTGTTTAGTGTGGCGTGGTGCCTTCTGTTGTGAGGGCAGCCTACGTTTTTCTCTCTCTCTCTCTCTCTGGACATCGGCAAGAAGATAATATGAAGTAGTGAGTCCTGTAGCTCAATGGTTAGAGCACTCGCTTTGCAAGTGAGAGACCTGAGTTCAATTCCAGGCAGGGCGAAACCTTGGGCAAGTTTTCTTACTCCACACGCCTAATAATAATCCCTCCAAAAACAATAATAATTGGTCATTTTCATGTTTGTTTGTGGGACATTGCTGTGCGCAATTGGCTGCCGCGTTCGCCCACAAATATACAGTCAATTCACTTTACAGTGTGTTCTGTGAAGCGCTTTGGGACGTCCTCCCGACGTGAAAAGCGCTATATCAAATGCAAGGATTATTATTATTAAAAGAGTTTTCCGAAAGAAGGAATGCTACAAGCTGGCATTGATAGGGCATTGTAGTGCTGGTTAGTGCTACACGTTTGTCACAATTCCCTCATTCATTCATTTCTCTAGAGACTCCTGTTGGGAAGCATTAGTCCTGTCTAGTCTTAGTGTTTGTGTGTGTATATGTGTGCACAAGAATTGTCTTGCCTCCCTCTGTATAGATCACTTCCAGTACTGTAGAACCTACACATTCGCCCACAAAACACACACTTTCCAGTACAACCTGTAAGCGCTTTGAAACTCCCTCCCGACCTAGAAGGCACTATGCCAACTGTATGGGTTATTATTATAAAGTGTGACTGCGTGTGTGAAAATGGGATGTGTGTGTGAGAAACTACTGTATATAAACACATATGGTATAATATACATGCATTGCATTTAGATATGTGCATATATGTACAATAAACAAACAATAAAATATACTGGACAACAAAAAATCTGCAGTGAATTAAAATGCTTCATAGTTAAGTTATGATTAAAAAATCCCATAATAAAACATTCTGCAAGCTGCACAGTTTTTGTCTTGGTTCTACAGATGTCAAGCATATGGTCAGAATTCTCTCAAGTTATTGACTCTGTCTCCGACCCAAGCTTAATATTGTGGCCGATGTTCTATGGGTGAAAGGGTTTGTAACAGATTGTAGTTTCTATGTATTGGAACTTAAGATAGATATTATTTCTTTATTTCCACGCTGGGTGTAAGGTTGGCTGCCAGCCATAATGGAATAGCTGTTATAATGGTGTAATTATGCCATGTGTGCTTTACACACACGTAGAGCAATAATGTTTTTGTGCTGGTCCCTATCTCCTACAAACTATCAAGGGCGGCTTGGAGTGGTGTGGATTGGCCATTGCATTCACCTACAGATGCACAGTCACTACACTTCACAATATATCCTGTGAAGCGCTTTGAGATGTCCTCCCGCTGTGAAAATGGCTACATCAAATGTAAGGACCTATTATTTGGTAGACCATTATCTACCATAACTGGTGAAGGGTATCAAACAGGTACCGAGTGTAGAACATGTTCATTTCCTTCTCATTTCAGTGCCACAATTTTAATGTAATAAAGCGATCTCATTCCGAGTCGCATTTCTTTGGTTGTCACCCGGGTGACCCTGGTTGCAAACAATGTAGAGAGCAATGAGGGACTGGCAGTCCCCTCAAGGCTCCCTGCTTTGAATTTGTTATGGCTATTTAGGCCTGTGATGAATGGGGAGGAGAGGCAACTAATTAAAGTACACATTTAAACCTTTTATTTTGCATCTTTGAAGCCTGACTTTAAGTGATAAATGCTCTGCTTTTAACTCTCTCGACACCCAAATTGATGAACCTTGCAGCAGACAAAACAATGGTTAGGGTGCAACTTGTTACACAAAAAAAGTCGCAACATTCAAAACGCATTCCAAAACATTTTTTGAAAAAAACTTTCACAATCAGTGCTTTACAAACATTAGACCATTTTGTAAATCAAGCTCCATCTTTAACAGCTAGACAAAACCTACTGGAAACTTCTGAGGAAACGTCCTCCACAGGATTTACTGCAAAGTGTAGTGACAGTGTATTTTATAGAACAATGCAGAAGCCAATAATAACCATCATGTGCATAAAAACAAACTCCATTTGCTTTTTTTTAAAAAAAATGATCTTAGATTTATGCTGTTCTGAGCAGAAACTCATCAGATGGCTTTAAAAGGCTTGAAATTGATTCACAGTATCAGGAACCCGGGCACAGGGAGGGGTCTCAGGTAACACTTTCCTCCAACTCTTAAACTTAAGTATCCAGTGGTTCACAAAATGCTTATTGCTGGTGACTGTATGACGGAACTAAGTGGCATTGCAAGACATCAAATGTCACTGGCGTGAAATACTTCTAATAATTGAAAACAATAATCATAATCCTTGCATTTGATATAGCGTCTTATCACAGTGTTGAGACGTCTCAAAGCACTTCACAGAATTCACTGTAAAGCGTAGTCACTTTAGAACGTATTTTTTTAGGTCAACAAAGGAGCCAATTTAGAGACATCAAATTGTCCCACAAACAGCCAGGAAGTGAATGACCTAACTTTATGTGGAAGATTGTCAGCATGAACACAGGAGAAACTCCCTTCTCTTTTCAAATAGTGCCACAAGATCTTTAACACCCACCTGAACAGGCAGACGGTACCTCAGTTTAACTTCTTATCTGAAGGAATGACAACCCCAACAATTGCAGCACATCCCCAGCACTGCACTAGAGTGCGTCAGTCAATGAGTTGAAAGTGAGTTGT